CCACAATAGTAAAGGTGGTATAAGTAAAACTTCAAGGAGAAAAGTTATAACTGAGCTTCTTCTAGAAGTGGTAAGTAGAAATAAAGTTTAAATGTCTCTACTATGGCCAACAATAGAATTATAGTACATGGCTCTCTATTGATACTGTTTTTTAATTGTTATACAAAACTTTAAGATTTTTATCTTTGTAAAAAGTGCTGTTTAAATAAACTTCACTTACTTATTTTCTGTTTTTAGGTTGGGGGTGTTCTTATGAATGGTGATGAACACAGACTGCTGTTAACTGATCCATTTTTCTTCAACTAAAACTCTGGCTATTTCTTCTACCAAAACAAAAGAAAAGAAAACAGAGAAATATGCAATTAGTATTTAAAGAACAATGAAGACATTCTTATCCCTTTTAGTGCTATTTAAGAACCAGCTCAGACTCGAGAAGAGAGTGTGAAACTGCTTTATCACACTATTTCTTGTTTTTTCTTGCTGCACCTGCGCCAATATTGTCAATTTGAACACCTGCCATTCTGGCACCCCTAGTTGGAAACAATAGATGCCTTGTTGGTATTCAAATCCAAGTGACATAGTAATGAAATGGATATTGCTGAGGCGGAAGACAATTTGTCAGGTGCTTACTCAGAAAGTACAGATTTTATTATGGAGATTGGTCTGCAATCTAATTGGCACAATGAGGTCAATCAGAAAGTGTCAGAGATTTATTCTGGGCCCAGATTGCTGTTTATTTATTTTTTCTCATTAACCAAACATCAACATCTTTTGAAATTGTATTAAAAGCTGATTCTGGCCAGATGACATAACCTCCTTTTTAAGAGAGGCGGCAATGGCGCACGTGTGACAAAAGATATGCAGAAGAACAGACTGAATATCACAATAGATCATTGTCCACCACTCAGTGGCAGAGTTAATCGACCGTCAGGCATAATATCTCAGGTGACATCACAGATATCAAAGGCCTAAATTTAATGAAGCTTAGAGGGATGATACATCAGCACTGTGTTCTGGTGTTATAACATATTACAGTTATTGCCCTGAGGGTGGCACTCTAATTAAAGAACATAATTTCTAACTTGGATGTGCCAAGTTGGCTACATGTCTAATCTGATTTTGATAAAATATGGAAGGATGCTTAATTTTGAAATTCCTTTTCAGAGTTTGACAACAGCTGATGAGCTGATAAAAATACAAACTGGCTGCAAACACCACTGGACCGATTATAAATGAGGGACTGTTTGAGAGCAGTCTAATATCAGCTTGACCAATGAATGTGATTAATCCTACCAAAAAGATCATAATATGTGCAATAGGATGATGGTGAAGCAGAGAATACAGCGGAAAAGACCTTTTAACAACTCTCAACTTTAGCTAACCGACCTACTATGTGTGTAAAAAAAAAAAAAAAAAAAAAAAAAGCACTTTTACAACTAAGAAAACAATTACATTGTGTTCCCATGCTCAATTCAGTTTACTTAATCCAGACCTTCCCAAAGTGTGGGGCCCGCCCCCTAGGGGGGGCGCAGACCCATTGCTGGGGGACGCATGAAGAGGGGAAAAAAAACCAACAATGCTTGGACACTGCATGGGGCGCCTACACAAACGCAAAGCAGGAGATGAAGCATCGCTGAATATGTTTCCAAACCAACTTCATTCTAAGCCAAAGACTAGAAAATATGGTGAGGCATATCTTCCCTTTGGCTTCACCTGCACAAGTGCCGAGGTAGGTCTCCCCTGCAAAATTGGTTTTCCCTTTGTCGGGAGCACCGCTGGGCTCTCCACATCACGGACAAACAGCATCCCACATTCTTGATTTTTAGTTCACAAACACTTGTTGTAATGACTAACTACTCCTGAAATTTTGGAGATGTTAGCTCTTTATACAGTAAAGTTACAGCGGGATACAAATAACATCAGGCTGATCCTGCCACGATTTGTTCCCCCTGTCTAAATCACGGACAAACAGTATCCCAAAGTTGTTCATGTTTTTGAACCGATTTTGCACAGAGAGGCATTTTTTTTAAAAAATGTATTGATAGCAATGTTGAACATTATTACACAGGAAAAAAACAACTACATGTAAAATAATTACATCGTGAGGCCTCTGCCTTTCTAAATAGAGGGACAGTAACTGCGTGTTTATATGTAAGCGTGTAAAACCTGAAGATAGAGACAAAATACTGTTATTTTCTTACTACCTGCAGATTACTTGTATTTGCTTAATTGTTTACTAAATGTTTGAGGTGTGAAATAAACTGCAATTGAGCAAAATATGGGTGTGTGTGGTTGGAGGATGTGCTAGTGCGTACGTGTGTGTGTGCGCGCACGCGAGGGGGGGCGCGAACATTTTTCTGTAAAACAAAGGGGGGCCCAGCGAAAAAAGTTTGGGAACCACTGACTTAATCATACATAAAGACTGGGAACAAAGTGAAACATCTAGTATGCTTCTACTATCAACTTTCTCATATCACTCCTAGCGGGAAAGTAAAAGGCATGCTGGATCCCATATGAGCCACAGTTTCAGTTGGTTTTGGTGAGAATTTACTGCAAGCACACAACTGTATGTCTTCTTGAATCTCTACTACCTGTTGCAGAGGTGCTAAAAGTAACACAAGCAGTCAGGTTTACACATTGACTGAATTACCAGTCTCTCTTATTCAGCAAAGAATCACTTTTGACATGGTAATGAAAAAAGTGATAGTTTTTCATTAGTTGAAAAAGACTTTATGACACCACAGACGGCAAAAAGTGTAGCACTTCAGTGACAATTTAGAAAAAAAAAAGGTTTCAGAAGTAGTTTAAAGCAAAACAACCTTTGATGCAATTATGCTAGCTGTTGATAAACAGCTACCAACTCTTTTTATTTTAACATAGGCTAGTGGGGAGTAAGAAGCTTAATACCATCCTATAAATCTTTCCTTTTCACATTTCACACATCAGTCTCTTTCACCTAAATAACAGCTGACATATAAAATTTGAGGGCTGAGGGAGGGAGAGTGGCTGCACAGTTTGAACTTCTCTAATTTCAATCAAATGAGTTGGAATAGGCCCAACTATGGGTAGAAATCTGTGCCATCAGAAACTGAATTTGAATAAGTTAAATATGAATTTGAATTGCTCAGATTGAATCTGAATTGTAACTTGAATAAATGCTTTTGAAAACTGAATTTGAATTAGTCTAATTTGAAATTGAATTTATGGTTTGAAAATGAATTGATTTGCTTTGAAACTGCATTTTATCCTTTAAAAATTCAGCTCTCGAATAATTTCAGTTTCACTTCTCACCATTCAGTTTCAGTTCTACAATTCAATTTCAGTTCCAAAATTCAGTTTTTTGGAACTTACATCCGGTTCCGGTTCAAGCGCAGATTAATAGAACTACGTTTTACTAGCGGACCGAAAGTGTTACTGACAGGAACCTACAGCGTCTTGAGCTGAATTAAGACTTCAGAAGTCATTCGTCATGTCGAATGACCAGCAGATAAACTATCAGGTTGGTAATAAATGTATTACATGTATAAGAACAAGCGTCATGTTAACAAAAGATAGCCGTACAGTAACTGTTATGCTTATTGTAGCTGTTAGCTAAAAACGCTAATTTAACGTAGTTTGCCCTGAATTCAGCTTTGACAACAAATATGATCGACTGTTTCTAGTAGAATTCCAAAGTTGTCATCTTGGACCCTGTCAGAGTACCCCCTCTGTATGCTTGCATAGGCCCCTACAGTAGGGAAACATGCAAAACGGTGTCCAAACCTTTGTGTTTTATCTTTATTTATGTCTTACACAGCATCCCAACTCTTTAGCTGACTTAATAACTTTAGCTAAAGTGAATAGTTAGTCTAATTCATTAGTGCAGCATTACTGGATCACCTCTGTTTGAAGTGATATAATATGATATACAACTATCACTGAAACAGCAAACTTTGTAAATAAGCAAACAACACTTCTCATTCTCTAAACGTTTGGCCACAGCTGTAGATTACACTACCAGTGCTTGTTCACTCTTGACAATAATTACATTTCTAAATTGACTTTGTGCATTTACAGGTAAACAATATCTAATATTTTATCTAAATGACTGCTTTGTCTTTGAAAAGGGTGAAGAGCCTGAGGCCGGTGACAGTCCAGTTCTACTCTAAGTACACTCTCAGAAATAGAGGTACGAGAGAAGAACATTTTTGTACCTATAGGTACATTTTTTTTAAATGTTCCCTTAAAAGTACAATACTGGTCTTTAAAAGTCCAGAAATGCCCCTTTAAAGGTACAATTTGAAATAAAGTACAAATCTGTACCATTTTGACCTGTACTGCAGTGACAGTGGCAGAATGTGGTAATGGGTCAGCATGGGAAAATCTGGATGGGCCTGGTTAATTGTAAAATTCATATGAGATGTGAGTGTGCTCATAAAAGCTACATGTTATAATCAAATCTGTTGGTCCTCTCCTCTCTACGTAAATTATCCTATGATGCAAAGAATATCTGTAACCTACCTTTGTGTAAGTTATGTTAAATTATATTAAAAAACACACACACACACACACACAATGACATGCAGGCACAACCAAATGATGTTAAAATAAAAACTGGTCCATTTCCATTTTAAGTTCCAGTTATACTTTTTTAATGTTTTAAATCTTTCAAAAACGTGAAATCATTTTACTGTTATGTTTGGCCATTTACTTTTTTGCTTTTACTACATCCTAGAATTGTTCATTAATTGTGAGGTTTTTATGGAATTTGCAACATCAAGTTAAACCGAGGTTCTTTGGAAGTTAAAATGTCAAGCAGATTTTTATGTTACGGTGACTACATTTTGTAAGTTACAAATATAGTTCGCCAAGACAGCATAACGGTTTCTAAACAACTGCGCATTAATACCACAATGTTGTATTTTCATGTGTCAAGTTCGCAACGCGCATTAATCCCAAAGGCCGAAAAGGCAGCAGCGATGAGTGCTCCGCCTCCTCGCTGACTAGCGTTGATGCAGAAAATGACTCTCAGGGGGTTATCCACGGAGGAGCTCCTTGAAAGGTTGATGGAAGAAGGCATTGATGTGTCAGACGACGAGGCGCAAAGATTTAGAGGTAAGTCGGGTGTGATTTTGTGTTTTTATAAAAATTACAACGTGTAATTTTACAGTAGAGTTAGCGAAAGTCCGAAGAGCTAGATTTAACATGGGCGAAAGCTAGCAGTTAGCTAAGTTTTAAACAAAGAAAGGTACAAATGTGGACTATTTAGACTGTTGGTGGAATGTTCAACGTCTGTCTGCCCGCGGTATTCGAGTGTTTTATCAATAAATAGTGACGAACCGTGTACAACAATGTCAAAAAATCAATAATTTCTCAAAACATGCTAGTATGTAAATATAGCTATTAACAAAATCGTTTTCTAAGCAAAATTTATCGCATCTAACTTGTTTCCCGCTCAAAGGGATTCAATGGAAGGTACACATTTGTACCATTCCACCTACTTAGTGGGATTTTCGAATATGAGAGCTGTAAGCTCTGCGCAGGGACACTTACTTACATTTTTATATTACCAGTTAATTTATATTAACAATTAATCAAGAGAATTAATTGTAACTTCCTTTTGGGGAATATAGACAGATTCACAATGATAGCTTATTATCATTATTATTATTATTATTATTATTATTATTATGTATTGACCATAATGTCACTTTAAAACTAAATTTGAAAATGGTTTTATTTTTATTTCATACTGTACTTTATATTTCAGATAACGATTTAGATGGAGAGACGGTAGACTGTGGACTCACTGAGACCATGGTTGCATATCTTTTTGACAAGTCTTTCAAAAAGCAGCTGAAGTTCAGAGACTTCACAAACCGCTACAAGGAAGTCATCATCACTTTACAACCGGTCAACCCATTTGAAGGTACAGTTGAAGGTCCAGTGTCCCAAGCAAACCAGAGGTAGGTTGTGATAAATGTCTAAATTTGCATATGCATTTAAGTGCTTGCAAAATGGCTAGTTAATGCTGTTTTCCTACTGTATTGCAGTTCTATACCTTCTTGCCGTAGACTGCCTGCAGTTATTTCCATTCCAAAATTCCCACAAGATGTCCAGAGTCGCTTGGATCTCAAAGAACCAGTCCAGAAAGAACAGAAGTACCGAAACAAAATAATTGGGACTCTTTATGAAATGCTGTCACAGTACACAATGTAAGGGTTCCTTTCTGAATAATTACATTAATTTCTTAATATTAATATTGCTGTTGTAAGAGAGGCAGAGAACAAATGCTTAGCCCATCTGCCTCCCAATCTGGAGACCAGCGTTCGAGTCTGGCGTGACACACGGTTCCAATGAACTGGCAATAGTGGTAAAACCATACATCCTGTGTCTCCAGACCTTGTCTGGACTATGATATCCAAAGTGTTCATTTCGAATTTGCTCAAGAGTAAATTAATAATTCAGGACTGCAGTCAATTAATTAATGAAGTTTGGGAGAGGTGTGGCTGTTTGTCCACGCCCATTTTTAAGAAATTAAAATCAACTTTAGCTACATTGATTTGACATTGGTCTACAACATACTATTTATGGTAATAACAATATGATTAGAAGAATTGAAGAACAGAAAAGCCCCCAGGAAAGGATAAGAGTAATCAGTGTACTGTGGGTTGTTTTTCTTATGTTTGAAACAGGTACCCAACCCACTCAGACTACATCCAGGTCATCAAAGCCCTGATTGTGAAGTATCCTTTCTTAAGAGATGTACACGGAAATGGTTATGTGAGTACCTCTCCTTTTTTGTTTCTTTTATAGATTATATTAATATAAAGTAACCATAATTAACTACTTATATACATTTGAAACAACTAGGACACCTGGCACAGCCAACTCAAGAGAAAGTTCAAAGCAGAACGGGCTCCCCTAATCAGCAACGAAGAAGTGAACCGGGTTAAAGAAAAGTTTGGACGCACGCAGAAACATCGGACCACAGAGGAATCCAGCAGCTCCTGTCTGAAGAGACTGAAGCCCTCTCTCGTAAGTCCTCACACCCTCAGCCTCTAAGAGCTAAGGTAACATATGTAGTCTTATTATGTTCACTGTAAAGCTAAAAGTAAACATTAATTGAAAGAAACATGTTAACAGATAACATTAACATAGAACAAGGAACTTCACAGTTGATTTAACAAAAGTCAGCTCAACTTGCAATTCCTATTCAACATTTTTGCATTTTTTTCAAAGCATTTGGTGTACAAATTACCGCATTTCGAGTAACATTAACTTATCAGAGTTTACTTATGATAATACTGATATCTGCTTTGACAAAGGATTCGTGCTTTGTGGGGGAAGATGCAGCCTCCGTTGATGCTCATATCAAGGTGCTAAATGATCAGCACAAGAAGCTACATCCTGACACAGCACTGGTGAAAGACCGCATGACAAAAACCTTTGCATGGAGACGTCGAGAGGTAGCTGAAGGAATGTGTACTGTGGACCTATTAAAGAGATATCCATTCCTGGGGACATCTGCAGGGGTAAGAATTGTTAAGATGATTGGGGAAACGGCTAATGATTTTTTTGTCTCTAAATCTGATTATTATTTTCTGTACTAACTGATTAATCAATCTGTTCATTATCTTTAGAATTTTTGTTCAATGGTTAAAGCACTTTACATTTATCTCCAGTCTGTGTCTTTAAACATGTCAAAAGTTTAAATCCTCAATGTAAAATGTCATTCTTTTGTCTATTCTGCTCTTTTCATTTCCAGTTGTGTGATGAGGTTGATTTAATGCATCCCTGCCAAGACAACATCTGTCGCCGCTTTAGCGAAAACTTCACTGCTGTTCTTCAAATGACCAAGGATTTGCCACTGAAGAAGGTCTACATGGAGGCAAGAGAGAATGCACTGGCTGAAGACATTACAGGTGCTAATTTGACCTCATACAAATAGTAAATTTTGTGACAATTCATTTGCTCTCTCTTCCAAAGATAATTGATGTACCATAGTGCCATGTCAAGAGCATGTTAATGGGAATTTGCATGCTATCAAAATCTAATGAAGTGCATTTGCATCTGTATGACCTAGGAATTGACTTCAAGGGGGCACTTCTCTTGCCATCCATCTTCAAGGAGAAGATAGAAGATTTCATCATCCTTGGAGAGGTAAATGCATGATGCAATGCATAGCCTTTGGCCACAAGTTTCATTCTTGGTGTTTTGTTGGCATGGAGCTGAATTCAGCTGCGGTTCAGCATCACAGCTAAGCTAATGTAGGGAAAACACTGCTGTTAATCCACAGTGCTGCTGTGCTCTTGGGTTTTGTCTGGTGTTTATATAGATAGATAGACCTTTATTGTCCCCTTAGGGAAATTCTTCTTCACAGGTACTGTCACTGTCAGGGGTGATTGCTTTTGCCCTTGAATATTATGTCAAACTTTAGCAGCTTATCAAACACTACCACAACAGTCATTGGTCAAGAAGCTTTTTGTTTGGAGTAGGGGCCATGTTTACAGGTTATCAGAATAGACAGTTTTGTTTTGCAGCAAAAAAAAGAAGGTAATTTGAGGAATCTGTTGAAAATTCACTTGGCACATATTGCTTAAACATACTGTATACTAATGTTTTTCTTCCTCTTCTGCAGAATACTCCCATGAGTCCATACCCAACCATTCGAATGAAGGATAAGAGTTGGACAACTGCCCTCTCAAGACAGTGTCGCTGTGTTGTCACAGTTGAAGGAGTGGATGTTTGCTCATGCTGCTCGCTGGATGAGGCCTACATCTCAGCATTCTCCACCTTCTTCGTGTTCAACATGACCTACCCTGCATACTTCAAGAAAACACTTGTCTTCCTTCAGAACTGCATTGTCAACATAGGAGACCAGGGAGACGAACCCCTGCCAGTAAGTGTCACCAGGGTACTTAACCAACTCTATTAAATATGCCCCCACTCCACAAATGTTCAAAATGTTCAAAAAGGGCATTTACTCTGAGGAAGTTGATTACACATGTTGGGTTAGTACACGCACATGAGCCTCATTTCGGCATCACTTGTGGAATAAATGACTGCCAGGCAGCTTTTTCCAAGTATCACTCTTTTCAACGCCATGTGTGATCCGTCAAAACCTTGTGTTCAGGTGTTTAATGTCTTTATGTGATTGTTTACTTTTTTTTAATGAATGTATTTTTCTTGACATGTCCTATGGCAATATACGAATGTAATCAAGAATGTATTCCTGTGGTTGTTTAAATGCTTTGATGTGATTCTATTATTGAAAATAAATGGTTAAATAACCAAATATTTAGGACTATTGGGGTACATTTTTGTCTCTTTAGGTACGAAATAGGTTGTCGCTGGGGGGGTACCCTATTGTACCCTTTTCAAGGGAACATTTCTGTACTATAGTTTGAAGGTACATTTATGTCTTAGGAAAGCACATGATTGTACTTCAGATGGTACAACTTCATAAGGTACAAAAATGTACCAAGCCTAAAGGGTACAGAAATGTCCTTCAAAAAGGAACACCCCCAGCGACAAGCATTTGTACCCTTTTTGGTACACTTTGGCACCCCTATTTCTGAGAGTGTACATCCTTACAGTGGCTCACAGGACAAGGCCACATTCCTGTCCTGCCAGAAGAGAAGAGAAACTTCAGAGTCTTCATGCAGTTCAACCACACCTGTCATATTCCGTATGACAGGGGTCTCAAACTCCAGTCCTCAAGGGCCAGTGTCATGCAACTTTTCCATGCCCTCGAGGACTGGAGTTTGAGACCCCTGCTGTATGGTGTTCATGCTGTTTTCCACTCCACAGTTACAGCATGTCTGACTGCCTGTTCAGCATATGCAAAAATATATGAGTTTAAGCATGTGATGACTAAGGCCTTCCATTATGGTGTTTGTCATCACATGTCACAGACATCTGGATGATCATTTGGAATAAACAAAACTAAAAACTTGTTACTTCATCTTTTATCTTTATTATTATTATTGTTCTTATTTTACACTTTTCATTGTTAGACATTAGGTTTATTTGTAGTAGTCCTTTCCAACGTCTTTCCCTCTTCCATGTTACTGTGTCAGCATCTATTTGGGTTTGGAAGTGGAACAGAAAGTAAAGAAATCCAAAGTGCCATTAAAACCAGGAGAGGTTCTTATATTTCAGAAGAAGGGATTAATTCAAAAGAAATGACCTCAATGCCATATTTTATTTAGGAACCCTAGAGAACACTTTGCAAAATAACACATTCTTATAATTTCACCCTCAGATGAGCCAAGCTACGACTGTCAGAGAAGGTGATGTAGGTACAGAGCATATGAGAGTGGTTAAGTTAATGTCTCTTGTCTAGATGAAGGCACAAGAGGGATCAATGGCAAGGCGTAGAGATTCAGTATCTTCAGTCTTCAGTGGACACTCCATTTCTGGCACAAAACTCCTGTAAAAGATGGTCGATTTAGGAGGTGACCCGACAACTTCAGCCTGTCAAACATATTAATGGAGCAGTATGCTTTAAAAAAAAAAAAATCTAATTAAGCATGCACTCAGTACCCTAAGAATTATTTATGGTAGTTAAACACAGTGATATTTGTATATCACTTCAAACAGAGGTGATCCAGTAATGCTGCACTAATGAATTAGACTAACTATTCACTTTAGCTAAAGTTATTAAGTTAGCTAAAGAGTTGGGATGCTGTGTAAAGATAAAACACAAAGGTTTGGACACCGTTTTGCATGTTTCCCTACTGTAGGGATCTCTGCAAGCATACAGAGGGGGTACTCTGAGAGGGTACAAGATGACAGCTTTGGAATTCTACTAGAAACAGTCGATCATATTTGTTGTCAAAGCTGATTCAGGGCAAACTACGCTAAATTAGCGTTTTTAGCTAACAGCTACAATAAGCATAAAAGTTACCTTACGGCTATCATTTGTTAACATGACGCTTGTTCTTATACATGTAATACATTTATTACCAACCTGATAGTTTATCTGCTGGTCATTCGACATGACGAATGACTTCTGAAGTCTTAATTCAGCTCAAGACGCTGTAGATTCCCGTCAGTAACACTTTCGGTCCGCTATAGTAAAACGTAGTTCTATTAATCTGCGCTTGAACCGGAACCGGATGTAAGTTCCAAAAAACTGAATTTTGGAACTGAAATTGAATTGTAGAACTGAAACTGAATGGTGAGAAGTGAAACTGAAATTATTCGAGAGCTGAATTTTTAAAGGATAAAATGCAGTTTCAAAGCAAATCAATTCATTTTCAAACCATAAATTCAATTTCAAATTAGACTAATTCAAATTCAGTTTTCAAAAGCATTTATTCAAGTTACAATTCAGATTCAATCTGAGCAATTCAAATTCAAATTGAACTTATTCAAATTCAGTTTCTGATGGCACAGATTTCTGCCCATACCCAACCTGCTGTTCAGAGCCGACTCCTCTCATGGATCAATGGCCTCTGAGCCTTGATAATCTCTGAAATTGATTGGCTGTCTCATTGATCATTACTTCAGCATTAGCCAATCAAACATCTTCCCAAGTAAACAAACATGGCAAATAAAGACATCCCCTGAAGTTTAGTCCCGGAGGAGACGCAAGAGATGTGAAGATAATATATAAACTGAAATCCCTCTTGGAAGAGAATATCAAATCATAAGAGTGCTTAATATTTCACTGACTTGATGAAATATGCATTGTAGCTCAGAAAGAAGGAAAAATGCAAAGATTTGGATGCATTATGTATGAGAAGGTCCGCTGGCGAAAATGACACTGCACTGTTGAATAATCGTCATTTCACTATCACCCCAGTGCAATGAGATATTGTTATTACTACGCATCACTCAATTCATTTGGAAAGTGCATACAGTTTGCATTTTGTATTTAGAGCCTAACTTGTGCGTGCACAGCATCCAGATGCTCACTAATGAACTAAAGCAATGACTGTTGTGTGTCCTTTGCCTCTGCCTCATTTAATAAATTTCACTACAGTACTGTGTTTTAGAATAGAAGAGTATATTACCCATGCCCAAGTGCTACTTTGATGCAAATATTCATTGGGATTATAATAAAGGAAAAACAACTGAGGTTAGTGCATTTTTATACAGACCAGAACTGTCATGGGTGAAGACAAACAAAAGAAAAAGAAAAGAAAACTGTGTCACCACGGCTGCCATTTCACACGGCCACTTTCAGGAGGGACACCCGTGGCCTGAAAAATAGAAAGAGAGATATAAACATGCATGGATTTCCCATCCTGGTATCATGCTGTTATGGAATACAAATAACAGACAAACATCCACAAACCATTTTGCACGTTATTCAATGCATTTTTTTTCCTTATGTGTCATTTTCAGGTCACATAGTGGAGGGTATTATATCCCCGACTCTAACTACCTCATGGCATTTAATGCTCTAAAATAACACGTAGAAGATTGAAAATGGGTGGAAATCACACACAAAGTCTGTGTAAGGTTTATATGCTATTCCATAATATCAGCTAGATATCTTGGAATATATATATATATGTACAGATAGATAGATAGATACATACATAGATAGATAGATAGATAGATAGATACATACATACATACATACATACATACATACATATAGATACATATAGATACATATAGATACATATAGATATTCATGTACGTACACAGATGCCCCTGAGACAATCCAGCAAATAGAAACTGGATGCAAGATCCTAGCAGGCAGGCCATAGATGGAAACAACACAAGAAACTGGCTGACATAATATGCAGGAACAGGACCCTTGAGCTCCCAGGCCTCTGATAAAGGACCCAAGCTTGAAGTACAAAGTACTGGACCAGTCTTTTGAGTACTTGTACTTATGGCCATTGATCAAAGGTCTTTGATCAATAATCAATGGGCTTTGATCAGTGGTTGTTGATCAATGGTCATGACAATTTGCATATTAATGATCAAGGAACTGATGTCACAGCCCATTGTTCCTTCAGTGGGCTAGTTTCAGTCATTGTACAAATGTACTGTTTATAAGGCTGGGGAAACCTGCACTCAGCCAAGACTGAAGAAGTCACTTGAATGAGTTTTGAAATGTTTCTCCCACTGAAAATGCTATCTCCAGATGAACAGAATCAACCTTTTGGGACGTACAGGACTTTGTCAGCCATGGCAACCCATGCCATGAAGATCCCTGGGCTGAGTCAGCAGAGCGTTGTCAACTTTTACACATTATGCACCTCAACACTCAGTGACAGTGCTCTGTAACTTTGTGTGTTCTGCCACTTAACAGCTGAGTTGCTGTGGTTTGTAAATGCTTCCAATTTGCAATAATACCCCTCACAGTTAATCATGGAATATCAAGGAAAAAAGAAATTAAATAAATATCATTGTAGCAATGGCAGTATGCTATTAAAGTACAGCACTCAAATTCAGGGAGCTTTTCAGAATAAGAAATGTTTATAAGGCAGATTAAAGTAGTGCAGTGCTTGTTTTCTCAGCACAGAAGAGTGCAGCCCTAGGCAAAAACACTGTATACACTCTAGAGGACACATTTACCAGAAGCATCATGGGACTAAGATGATGGTGAAATCCAACACTAGTTCTAAAAGCACTGTAGCAGATAGTTATTCCGCTGGTCTTACAGGAAACTAGACTTACGTGCCTCCTCTGAGCTCTGCTTGCAGAGAGAGGCCAGACACTTTAGCCAATCACAGGGCTTTTCAGACCAGATAAGGTGAGTAACATAGAGAGTGAAAAAAGTCAATACAGAAGTAAGACAAGGTGCCACAAAGGTACTGAAAGTGCAAAAGTCCAGTTTGAATCCTGCGAGAAACCAAAAGTGGGTCCTGACTTACATTTAGCATATGCCTGTGCTCATCTGGTAGAAGTGTGGAAGAACAAGGAGAGAACTTTTTTTAAAAAGAATTTGTATTTTTATCATGCAGCACATCTTACAGAGAAAACTCAGCACAGTCAGTATCCCCTTCTGCACAGAAAATCATCATTATGAACCGTTCAACTGTTGTCCTCTGCAAGCGCTGATTAAATTAAAAAAATAAAAAAAATGATAAATAATAAGAAATAACTACAACTTGTACAAAACACACCCAACATATAAAAATTAATGCAGTGCAACCTTATTACACTGCCAGTAATAAGGTATTACTACCTTATTACTGGCATCCAACTTCTTTAAAGCTGTGCTTCACCTTTACTAATCCTGTTGCAGTTGGATAAAACACACAAAAGAACAGGGTTTTTTTAATACTCACCACAGAGCTAGTGCCCCTGCTCTGAAGCTTCAGTGGCAGGGAGCCACTACACAATAAAAGACAAACAACTGGAAGGAAAAGCTTTACTGCCCACTGTATTATGAGACACACAAGAACTACAGTTAGCAACTAAAGTCAAAATGTTTTTACACAACAGTAGCAGAAATTTTCGTTGAATAAAAACACCGATGCATTTAAATAATTCCTCTGAGGTACAGAGAGAAAGGGTTGCTAATAATGAAAGTAGCAATAATTGGTTTGGTATACTTTGGTATACGCATAGTGATGATTGTGAGAGTTCAGAGGTTTGAGCACTTTTTCACACTTACTAGTGCTGCTTAATTTGATCATTGCAGATAATATGTTAGTGCAGGAAGTAAAAAATATTAGATTCTTTTTACTTTCACTCTGAATTTCCCCCAGTTTTGAAACCACAAAGCAGAATTTAACTCCGGTGGATTACTGCAAATAGATGTTGACAACACCTACATGATTTTGTAGACATCCTGACACAAATACAAGTTAAGGATGCCACACATGGTATTCAGTCTTAAAGCCATGCTGCTTCCAAGGTGTTGATATTTGCACACAAATCTTTTGGACAGGAAGTTTTTAAAGAGTAATTGCATCACAGCAGGAGGCTGACTTTGATGGGCAAAGGATCCAGTGTTTGCTACGGATGTGTATACCAGGCTCGGGGCTTAACTCTGAGTAACACAAACAATGAAATGCTCTAGGCTCAAACAAACAATTTTATCAAGGCATTGCACAGGGAGGAGTGTAATTTGATGTAGCGTGTATATCCTGGGCACATCTCTTTAAAGGCACCAGTTTCCTAAAGTGCACAATCCAGTGTTTTACAGGTCGACTACCACAGGCAAAAGAGCTCACTGGCTGAAGTCCCTCAACACGCGTGAAACCCCCTAAACCTTGAGAAGCCTGGAAAGTGCTATTTTTCTATTTAACTTGATAAAATCTTAGACTTTTACAGTTGCTGTTTTCTGCAAGGTTTGATTAGACGTTGTGAAACCCTCTGAATGCACACGGTTAGAGGTTCTTTCAAAACACACTTGAAATAGAGTGGGTTTGAAAATGGCTTTTGTATAAGCCATTTTCAAACCCATCAGTTTTATATGAGCGGGTAAAAGGAAGCACCTTTCATACTGCTTGTTGAAAGGCATGGGTGACTTCCTTGAATGATTAGAGAGATTAAAATGTTTAACTAACAATGCATTTAATAGCCACAAGAGCAACGTAGTAAGCACAGTGTGCCTAAACACTTTGGCAAAAAGCACACTGACTTTTCCAACAGAATCTTAAACACAACACACATACTACCTGGCATTCAGCCACTTCGTGTGTGCCAGAATTTACATTTGTTGTTTCTGATTGTATTTCCTTTTGTGGTAGCTGTTTTGTTGCTTTTTTCTTTTCTTTTCTTTTTTTCAAAAAGACATGTTTAAAAAGCTCTGACTTGTAACCTTCAGTTCTGAGTTGATTGACCCTGTGAATGGAGACTCACTGTTAGGCTCAGAACAGGTGATCAGAGGTAGCTCGGTCTGTTCAGTCTGAGCATTTTGACTTTTAGTTAAGCATGTGCTTTGGTAATGAACAAAAGCCATCAGTGGAGCTCCAGCTATGATTTAACATAACACAGGGTAAGCAAAGTTTTTACATTTGAATGCAGGGGTACTGGAAATATGACCATTTGTCAATGTAGACTGTGAGATTTTTTTTAAGACAGAGAAAAAAAAAGAACCATTTAGTTAACACAATGAAATTTTGGTCTGTGTTATCTACTCAATCAACAATGCATCAACTGTGAAATTCTTGGCCAGTTCTATTAGTGGTGTGTAAAATGATAATTTGACAACATCAAAAATTGATACCAATACTTTTTGGTCATTTTATTCAGTTCTTTTTATACATAGATAATTATTGCCCCCTATAATTTGTAAATTACTTTCTATATTGGCCCTCAGTGATACTTGTTCAATATGTATTCAGTATGCTGCTTCACTAAGTGTTCCTTGCTATTACTGGTTTGGCCCTTCATTTTGCCTTCAGAATTCTTCATGCTATAGATTCAACAAGTGTTGGAAACATTCCTCAGAGATTTTAGTCCATAGTGATGTGACATTATAATAGTATAATAGATGGGGGCTGCACATCCATGACTACATCTCAAAGGTGATCTATTAGATTGAGATGTGGTGACTCTGGCATTGTGTCATTTAACTAAAGTTGAATACAGTCAATGAATAATGAATACAGTCATTGTCATGTTCAAGAACTCAGGGAGCTTTGTGGTGAGTTATCATGCTCCAAGACATGTTCAGCAATAATACTCACCCAAAGTGTGCCCTACACTATAGAGCCACTAGAACCCTTGACTGCTGGTACAAGGCAGGATGGAGCAATGCCTTCATGTTGTTTATGCCAAATTCTGATCCTACCATTGGAATGTCACGAAAGATATCAACACTCATCAGCCCATGATTTCTTTTTTCTATTTTTTTTACTGTTTCTATCTATCTAGATATCTATTCTATTTCTATAGTCCAACTTTGATGAGTCTGTCCTTTGCTGACAGACATGGCACCTGCTGTGGTCTTATCAGCTTCGTGATTGGATGTGCAGTTACTTAAATCGCCTTTCTTCCCAATCCTGATGCTCAGTTTGAACTTCTCCATGTCTGCATGCCCAACTACACTGTGTTGCTTCCATATGATTGGCTGATTAGATATTTTCGGTAACTAGCAGCTGAACAGGTGTCCTAATGAGTGGCTGGTAAGTGTCTATATTGCTGAATACTTAACGTAACTGTGCTGAAAGCTTTCCATTATTCAGTAATTTAAACCAGTGGTTTTGTCATATCTATTCAACTGTAACCCAGTGGGGTTAAAAGAAATGTGACAGCTGCTGAAGACAACGTTGTGAATAAAATAGAT